CCTACTTGCAAAGTAAAGTAAGTACCCCTTATGCTTTCTTGAATCTTAGACAGCTACATCTGAAATGGTTCTTCTTTGTAGTTGAGCAGTATGCTTTATAGTCTTGTGTTAGGTTCAGACTTCCCTTAGGAGACTTCAGTTCTGTAGTGCATAGTGCAGGCCACTGCAAAATGGTGGATAAAGGATTGCCCGGATACCAAAGTGTTGGGATATCAAGGATCTTGTGGAAGAGCACCCACGTACAGATTAATGGAATACACGAAATAACAATCAAGTCTTCAGTTGGTATATTAAGTCTCCATCTGCCCTAGCTGGCAGAGTCTGAAATTGGGTCACTAAAATCATCTCTTTCATGCCTGACTCCCTCTCTCCTGGAGTGAACAACCACTTCCCCCTCATTTTCTTCTCTAATGAGATTTAAAGTTGAAAACAGTTGAACAGTTGAAGGGAGGGGTTCAGTTTCCACCAGGCTGAGCTCACAGTGGAGAGTTTACTCAGAGCAGCCCCTCCCTATGCCTGCTCCTGCTGGGCCTGGGCCATACTCCCTGGGTCTATGGCTCCTCTGGCCAAGGCCAAGTCTCCAAAGCCTCCAGCCTGAGAGTCAACGTAGAAACTTTTAACCAGTCCTCTGGATGGTATATTAAAAACTGACCTGAACAGAAGCTTATTCTAAACTACTGAGACATTCAGCCATGGCACTGAACACTTTTTGAGACTCAAATAGACTCAAACTCAAGACTTTAACCCCATTTCATCATTGTTTGTATTTCAGGACCCCAGACACCTTCCGTTCTTCTAGTAGTGAATCTTCTCCAAATGGACTTCTCAATCAACCCAAAGTTTCATCCCCTTCAACAAACAGAGTTCATGGGATTTATCATTTCACTGGCAGTGTAGTTTTCCCTTATCTTAAAATTTCAGCCCATATTTAAATGATATTTAAGCTAGGAGCAATATGGAAGTTTCCATAAAATAAAACAAAGGTCTCCAACTCATTTGAACTGAATTTCTGTCAGAAATGCAGTTTTCATTATGATTCTTTATACAAATTTTTATGTATTTATAGGTGTACATAGGTATATAAAAATATATGTAATAAAAATAAAACAGTACAGAGTCCTATTCTATGTGATGTAATCAGATGTTTTCATTTGATTTTTTTTAAATGCCTCTGGTGATTTCCCAGATTGATTTCATGACTCACAAAGGAGCCGCAAAAATAATTTGGAAAACACTCCTGAAGGACACTGAGGACATTGGCTAGTAGGTATTCGTCTCTCAGATGGAGATGATTAAGTCATTTTTGAAATTAGAAATCTGAGATAGGGGACTTAAATATCTTCTTCCCTGTTCGTCATTTCTCAATAGTCTCTTGCAAATAACAAAGTTATTTATCGAAAAAAGCTAATTTCTCTTCCCTTAATGAACATTCTTCCAATCACTATGTATCTGCTCACAGTTTTAAAAATATTTAATAAGCCCCATTCACACTAAATCTCATATCAGATCACTGGTATTCCCCAAATCCACAGGGTTTTATGGCAGTTCCCACTATTCATTAATTCTCCAACATAGTAAAAGTCATTATCTGAAAATTAACAACCCTAAATTCTAAGCGTTTTAGACTTCCTCATAAATATATATTTCATAAACTTTTATAATAGTGCCCAAATTGTTTTATGTGTAACTGTTATTAATTTTACCCCCATAATATTCAAGTTTAAGGAATTTCATTTTGATTCACCATGTTAAATCAAATATCCTCCAAGCTTCTAAATACTTACTAAGTTCAATTCAGTCAATATTGAGACTCTCTCATTAACCATTAAAAACTCCTGAGTTTATATAATGCCTAAAAAACAGTTCATCATGATTTTCTTCTTAGCCTTGCTCCTTTAGCTTCTCACTGCTGCAATTGAGCAGTGATGTTGACTACATTTTAGGCACTGGTTTCCTCTGAGTTTAACCAAATTCAGATATTCATGCCATTCCAGTTCTCTGCACTGACCTTCATCTAAAAGCACACAGCAATCTTGTAACCCGCTCCCAGTTTTGGGCAATGTATGCCATCTGGACACACTTTTCCATAGCAAGCTGAAATGCCAAAGCTCCTTTTGTAAATCTCAAGTAACTTCAAACCCTTGGACTAGTCACACCTGCTCCCACTAAAAAAGGACTTTCACTGCTTATCTCTCTGAAATAATCTCGCCTTTAAAAAATGTTGTTCATTTCCCTTTTGAATGTATGACTTACTTGGGGGAACACAGACTTTAAAAAAATATTAATTTAATGAGGATTTCTGACTTTTAGGGAGCAGGGAAGGTATGGAGAAAGAAGATGCTTTATTCTTCCTTGGTAAGAGTCTACAGCAGTAATGAAACCTGAGACACCAGTTCTGTGTCTGTGTCTGTGTGTGTGTGTGTGTGTGTGTGTGTGAGAGAGAGAGAGAGAGAGAGACAGAATGAGGTGGAAAACAAGATTCTTGTTACAAATTCACTGTAAGCACTTAAGACTATCCTCTTTTGAGGGTTAGGGGAAGGAAGCTTATTAAGGTAGCACTGGAAAAAGTTACACATACACTTTGTGAGCACTTTACTTTCCATTTCCTTCATTAGAATAAATATGAGATGAGATTATCATTTGTTAACTTAATTTCTAAAGTTGCATGACCACTGAATAAATACAAGTTTGGAAAAAATAAAATAGAGCATATGAATTAATACCAAGAGAATCATTCTAAAAGTATGCTTTCTATTATCCCAGAGGGAAAGAATGTTTATATTTTTGAAGAACCATAAGCATTTGGGATTTAACCACCTTTTCATCCAGGAAATTTCAAAAGTAGGCTTAGTTTAGATTAGGAAAACCATAACAATAAATAGGATGGCACTCAATCTTGTGTTTTCATCCTGTCCAGGGAAAGCACAGTCCTGACAAGAGAAAGAATTGATGAGAAAAAAGGAGAGTAGATGAGCAAATGAGTTATTTTCCCCTCCTTGACTAAGCAGAAATATTACTAGTGATATCATATCTAATAGAGAAGTATTACATTATCAATTTCAGGATGGTTATTGATTTTCTTTCCATGAATGGCATAGAGATAGACTTAAATCATTCTTGGTTGCATTAGTATTCTTACTACCTTGTGTATAATAATGGTGAAAATAAAATATAGTCATAGAGTTTTCCTCATTTTATTGAACAAGGGAGAGAAAGAGAAAAGAAAATTGAACATTCAGGAAACAGAAAATTAAAACTTTTCTTTTGTTTGCCCTAGCAATTCCAAGATCTAATTGACTCCATCTTCATTTTTGGTTGTTTTATTTCCATTTTTAAGGTTAGCTTTGTGGTGGTTTTTTCCAAGTTTCAATTTCAGCTTAAGAATGCTCAGTATTTTGAAACGATCAGTTCTAAAGTTATTAAAAGCACATTTGATTTTACTATGGATGACCAAATTTTTATGTATGTGTGTACACACACACAAACATGAATGAAGAAAAAAATGAAAGAAAAGGAGAAAAAAGCAGGGAGGAAGCTTATCTTAGAATGTGAGTGTTAAGAGGCACAATTATTCATATGAGTGCTTTAGTTCTTTTTTGAGTTTAAGTTAAGTTTGCTAATAGTTTTTCTAGGTTATTTTGCAGTAATAAACAATCCCAACAATCTTAGTGGCAACAACCATACAGCAACAACGGTTTATTTCTTGCACATGTTACTCATCCTTCACTGTTCAGTTGCGGCTTTGCCTCTTATTGTCTTCACTGCTGGACCAAGGCTTAAAGAACAGCCCTATTTTGATCTTATGAAAGAAGAAAAGCAAGGCTGCAACCATGCAATGAATGCTCTACAGGCTTCCAGTGAGCAATGCTATACATCACGTTTACTCCTATTTCACTGGTCAGAGCTACTCATATGGCCAAGGCATTCTGTAAATAAGGCATGAATGAAGCAAAAGTAAGACTCTCTCAGGAAGGAGCATTGCATATCACATCGCAGTGGGCAGTGATGTATTCACTCGCTCCAAGTATGACAGTAAGCAATTCCAAATAAGAGTGCCATCTATCTCAGAGTCCTTGCCAATATCTTATTCCTTATAAATTCTATGTAAATTTTGTTCTAGAGTGACTTAGAATGAGACAACTTGGGTCTCGCTTTACTCCATTAAAAGTATACTGTTGGCCGGGCATAGTGGCTCATGCCTATAATCCCAGAACTTTGGGAGGCCAAGGTGGGCAGATCACTTGAGGCCAGGGGTTTGAGACCAGCCTGGCCAACATAGTGAAACCCCTTCTCTACTGTAAAAAGTACAAAAATTAGGTGGGCCTCATGGTGCATGCCTGTAATCCCAGCTACTTGAGATGCTGAGACAGGAGAATCACTTGAACCTAGGAGGCGGAGATTACAGTGCGCCAAGATAGGGCCACCGCACTCCAGCCTGGGTGACAGAGTGTGACTCTGCCTCAAAAAAAAAAAAAAAAAAGCATACTGCTGGGTTGAATCTATTTTCTGTTTCCTTATAACTCAATAAGAGAATAATAGAAAGGGAAAGGAAGATAATTCCAGTATCAAAAAGTTTCAGTTAGAGAACTTTTATTTAAAAACCAAAGACTATTTCTGCTGCCAGTTTGCTATGAGTTGCTATAACCCATTGAATGAAATCTTCAATATTACACGCATAGGTAGATAATACATAGCAGGAACATAACTCTCAACCAAGTTGTTTTTTCTCTTTTCTTACTTATTGAAGACGGTCACCGGAAAATACCCCAGAGCACATATATTAAACCAAGAGGGGCTCTAAGCCCCAGTATCTCCTTTTTACCTAAAAGGAAGTGTTACTGTGTTTCCCTCAGATACTCTAGAGAGAAATAATCAATCATCACTAGTAATACCAATTGTTCTCATCTGCGTCGATCACCAGCCGGGGGTAAAAGGAAGCAATTTTACCAGCACTCACTTCGTTCCAGTGAAGGAGGAAAATGGAAACGGAAAGTTCTTACCAATCTGCACATAGAAGTGTGGACATTTCTTCACTTTCAGGGGACATTCAGGTTCGATTTTCCCTTTTTCTTCTGGAAGAGTAAGACCTAAATATAATTAAGAATGTGGAAGAGAGAAGAATGAGATTTCTCCTTGTATATGAAGAGAAGAAATATGAGGGTCATATGAGAATTGTAGCTGTTGAGGCAGACTATAGACAAGTTGCCATGTCAATGACCCCTTGATTTTCACCTTTTCCTAACCCTGTACTTCTCTGAATCATATCTTTTCAGACTTTTTGTTCTTTTACCTATTTGCTTACAAGTATTGTGATTGTGATAAGTAATTTTATTTTTTCTCTATGCTGTCAGTATAAAGACATAAAGAAATAACATGCTAAGTCATTTTGTGATATTTGAGCTAGAAGTTTTTCAGGTAAAAATATTTAAAAGTAATGAAGCTACTAAAGGCATTCATTTATACGTATCACTTGCCTATTCCAATTAATGTGATACTGAGAAGCAGCTTAAAGTACGTGTTGTAAATAACATATATATCAATCCTGAAATAGACATACATAGCTTTAAATATTTTACAGCATTTCAACAAATACAGCACACAAACGATTACAATTTAAGGGCTTTCTAAATGTAGGCTTTTCAAATTAACAATAAACTGCAATTTAGCAATTTTGAACAATGAATACAGCTTGTCAGGAATACAGAAAAGCATTTATTCAGAATAAATAATTATTGCCCAATCCATTAAACATGCTGTCTGCATCAAAACTATTATTTCTTTGCAACTGTACTATTTGCTAATATGATAGGGCTTAATTCTATCTGAATTAAAATCTTATATACCCTTTCTATACCCCAATTTTTAGATGTCTAAGTATATGGTGTATTTCTTCATGTGGCTCAATTTTTAGTTATCTTTAAAATAAAATATATTTTATAGAAATGATACAAATCAATTTTTTGTTTTATATATTGTATATTAAGTATATAACAATAAATTGCATAATTAATTAAAAATATCTAATAAAATTATTAAATATTATTTCATATTTTTTAACTTTATAAATTTCTCTTAAGCTATAAACTCTACTCCCACTCAATAATGCCGTCATTTTGGTTAAGTACTTTTATAATTGTACCTTTGGTTAGGTCATGTATAATTTCTTTGGATGAAAAATCTAAAACTTTAGGGTTTTCGCTGGAGGGTTCCAGGTTATTTAATATTGGTTCGTTTCAACTGGATAAAATGTCAGTTCTCTAGGTTCCATTTTTATCTCCAAATAATAAAAAATTATAGCAGTGATATACATATTTTATAGCTTCCTTGAGTAGTAAGAAAGTTTACCCTGAGACAAAGAAGATGCAGATGCAGGAGTATAAGAAGCATGCCCTAGTCATTTCAGATTTAGACACTGTTTTTTGGAAAAAGAATATGGAAAAGCACAAGAGAAACAAGGCAAACTTTTAAAAATAACATTGTTTAACAGCATGTTTATATTTTAAAAATATATTATGTGCTATAATATTCCCAATCAAATGTTAATGACCCTTAAAATTGTGCAATAGATTTGCTTTGCTTTGTTTCCATTCTACTTTTCTTCTACACTGTTCTTCTTTATCAGTATTGCCTGAAGAAATTAAATTTTGTGCTCATAATAGTCTCATCATGCTAATATTGTTACAATTATTAACATGATATCACCATGTTAGTAACTGCCAAAAGGCTTTTGCACATAAAATAAGATAGTCACTAGCACCTTTTGTACCTTTTATAAATTTCGTAAGCAATTAATATTCTTTTAATTATTAAATAATTATTCTTACAGCTAAAATGTGTACATTTCAACAAGTGATGTAGCAGCAATTAGATATGTCACCAAAACAAATACACCTTGAAATAAAACCTCCACTTTATAAAAGTTCACTCAAAATGAACCAACAGTTTTATCATAAGATATAATATTATAAAGCTTTTAGAAGACAATGAAGGGAAAAATCTTTGAGGTAGAAGATTAGGCAGAGTTCTTAGACATGACAAAACGCAATCACTAAAAGAATAAAATAGATAAACTGGACTTCATTAAAGTTTTCTTCTCTACAAAATATCTGTAGAGAATATGAAAGACAAGCTAAAACCTGGAAAAAATATTTGTAAACCATACTTAAAATATATAAAGTACTCTCTAAGTATTAAAAAAAATAAAAGCTTTTAACTGTCTGATTAGAAAATGGAAAAAGATATGAATAGAATTTTCAACATAGAGAATACACAGATGGAAAAAGTACATAAGAAGATGTTCAAAATCAGTAGCCATTAGGGAAATTCTCATATGACCCTCAGCTACAATTCTCATATGACCCTCATATTTCTTCTCTTCATATACAAGGAGAAATCTCATTCTCCTCTCTTTCACATTCTTAATTATATTTAGGTCTTTCTCTTCCAGAAGAAAAAGGGAAAATCGAACCTGAATGTCCCCTGAAAGTGAAGGGGACAAATTGAAAAAACAATTGACTATCACTATGTATATAATAAAACAGTTATAATTAAACATAGTGAGATTATCAAATTCTAATAAGGATACAAAGAAACTGTATCTTTTATACATTGCTGCTGGGGGTGTAAAAGAGTACAGCCACTCTGGAAAATAGTTTGGCAGTTTTTCATAAAACCACATACACTTATCAGATGACCCAATAATTGCATTCCTACACATTTATCCCAAAGAAATGAAAACTTATCTTCACATAAATGTTCATAGCAGGTTTATCAATAATAACCAAAAACTGGAAAACAAATTCTTCAACAGGTGACTGGTTGAAGTTACTGTGGTACCTGGATACAGTGGAATATTACTCAGTAATACAAAGAAACAGTGAGTTATACAGGCAAAAATTTTAATGAATCTGAAAGACAATAATACAAGCCAATCTCAAAAGGTTACACATTCCAATTCTACTTATGTCTTTTGCATTCTTGAAATGACAAAATAAAATGTCTTTAAAATGAAAACCTTATAGAAGTAAAATAGATTAGCAATTACCAGGGTGTTTGCATCCATTGTCATCCTCTTCACACATCTCACCACGTATTCAAGTGTCACTCTCCCTTGTGCCAGTCTGTGGGAGAAGAATAGCCAACACTGTGGAGCCAGAGTTTCACCTCGATCCTTCTTCCTTACAATACACAAGCCTAAACCACCGAGGGAAGAGCAGCAAATGAGATTCCTTACTGCTTAGAGCAGGACATGATCTTTGAGAAAGACACAACCTCAAGAGTCAAGGACACAAAGCCTACCTAAGACAAAACCAGGACAACAGAAAACACAAAAGTATAACTGTCTATCCCCACCCTCGCCCCTTTTGGATCAGCTTTCAGGTCCATAAGCACAAAATAATAAGAAAAAACCATTGGGAGATGGTCAAGAACGTGAAGATATTCCACATGTAGGGAAAGTCTAAGGCTGAAAGTAGTCTAGGAACATGGAGAAAAACCCTCCTGTAATTCAGCTCTCGATCCTCAAGCACAAAGTAACAGTGGAGCACCCACCTAAACCTGGAGGTGTAAAAAAACAAAGAAACAAACCAGCTTCACTGCCAGCTAGATATACTCATTACCTTAACTCACTGTCCAGGAAAGACGGTTGTCCATTTTCAGGCATCAATAATATTTCTCTCAACCTCTACATGCCTACACATGATGCCTGTGTATAAAATACACATACACACACACACACGTATATACCCACCCACCCCCAAACACACACCAAGGTTAAGATACAACTCAATAAGCAATCAACAAAACTAGACTTAGATAAGGCCCAGATGTTGGAATTATCAGTGAATTTTAAATAACTGTGTCTAAGATGTTAAAGGCTCTAGAGGAAAAGGTGGACATCTTTTATGAACAGATGAGGTATTTTGAAGAGATGAAAAGTATAAGAAAGAATCAAATAGTAATGCTAGAAAAAAACAGAAACATAGTAACAGAGATGAGGAAGGCCTTCAATGGGCCCAAATATATGTATACTCAATATAGCTGAAGAAAATATTAGTAAAGTTCAAGATAAGTAAAAAAGAACAACCCAAACTAAGACACAAAGAGGAGAGAAAGAGAGAGACAGAGAGAGAGAGACAGAGAGAGAGAAAATGACAGAGAATCCTGTGCAATGGGACAATATCAAACAGTCTAACAGATGTGTAATTGAGATACTAGAAAGAGAAGAAGGGCAAAATATATTTTTAAATATTTAAAAAAATTTTAAGGAATAGTTGAATTTTTTAATGTAATAAATTAGATCACAAAACCAAAAACTTGGAGAACAGAAATTAATAAAAAAATACTAGGTGCAACATATTAAAAGTGCCAAGAGCCAAAGAATAAAACAAGGCAGTCAGAAGAAAAAGACATGTTATGTATAGAAGAACAATTCTACGAAGTTCAGGCCAGGAGCAGTAGCTCACTCCCATAATCACAGCAGTTTTGGAGGCCGAGGTAGGCGGATTATTTGAGTTCAAGACCAGCATAGGCAACACGGTAAAACCCAGCTTCTACTAAAAATACAAAAATTAGCTGGTGGTAGTGACTCACACCTGTAATCCCAGCTACTTGGGAGGCTGAGGCCGAAGAATCGGTTGAGCCTAGAGGTGGAGGTTGCAGTGAGCCAAGATCGGGCCACTGCACTCCAGTCTGGGTGACAGAGTGAGACCCTGTCTCAAAAAAATAAAAATGAAAAAAAAAGAAGAAATACAGCAGTCTTCTTGTTCGATAATACACAATCAACCAGAAGATAATGAATTGGCAACATTAAAGTGCTTTTAAAAAAACTTTGTGAGCCCAGAATTCTATTATCAATAAAAATACATTTAAAAATAAAGAAAAAAACTTTTTTTTTTTTTCCCAGAGAAAAATACTACTCAGAGAACTTATGACCAATGACTCTGTCTAATGAGAAATATTCTTAAAAACTTCTGTCAGGAAAAAAAAATACCCCATGGTTTCTACGGCTTTGCAAAATAAATAAGTAAGTACCCCAAACAGAAACTTAAATATAAGTAAATTAATGAAGAGCAATGAAAATGAAAATTACACAAATGAAAGTTAAAAAAATATGTATTTGATTTTTGTTTTTAATTTCTCCAAAAGGTATTTGCACTTCCTAAGCAAAATTAGAGGCTTTGAATCAGTGTTTATAGCACATGTGGAAAATAGAATATATGACAGCAAAGTTCAAAGGTGGGAGGGTGAAATTGGAAGCACATAAAAAATCTAAACTTCCAACTGAACAAACTGGCAAATTCCAAATGAAATATGCCTAAAGCTTGCTAAAAGAACTGGAACAATTAAGATACAAGCAAAAATAAATGAAATTGAAAATAGAAAATCAACAGAGGAAATTGATTAAACCAAAAATAATTATTTTAAAAGATTGATAAAATTAATAAACTGCTAGCCAGATTGACCAAGACCAAACAGAGAAGAACCAAATAGCAACTATCAAAAATGAAAGAGATGACATCACTATAGATTCTATAAATACAGATCTGAGATAATTTTGCAAGTCACAGATCTGGAGATAATACTTTCAACATATACATATATACCTCATAACTTGTTAATAAGAACTTAAACAGGTCCATTAAAAGTACACAAACTGTGTGACAGTGACTGCACAAAAGAGCATGTATAAATGATTAATAAATACATTAAAAGATGCTTAATTTTATCAACAAAGAAATACAAACCAAAAATGCAGGAAGATACCACTGCAAAATCATCAAAAAACTAGAATTTAAAAGGCTGATATCGGCTGGGTGCTGTGGCTCATGCCTGTAATCCCAGCACTTTCAGGTGCTGAGGTGGGCGGATCACGAGGTCAGGAGTTCGAGACTAGCCTGATCAACATGGTAAAACCCTGTCTCTACTAAAAATACAAAAATTAGCCGTGCATGGTGGCAGGCGCCTGTAATTATAGCTACTCAGGAGGCTGAGGCAGGAGAATCACTTGAACCTGGGAGGTGGACGTTACAGTGAGCCGAGATCATGCCATTGTACTCCAGCCTGGGCAATAGAGCGAGACTCTGTCTCAAAAAAAAAAAGGCTGATATCACTAAGTATTGGTACACATGTGGAGCAGTTGGAACTCTCATACATTGATGATAAGAATGCAAAATGGTAAAACCTACTTTGGAAAATTGTTGAGAACTTTCTTTTAAAGTTATACATAAACTTGCAATTTGACCATCAATTCTGGTCTTAGTTATGTACCCAAGAGTGATGAAACCATACAGTCTCACAAAGACTTTCTCATGAATATTCATTGCAGTTTTATTAATAATTGCCCAGTAATTGGATTAATCCAAATGTCCATCAATAGGTAAATAAGTAAATTGATACATATCAATATGATGAAATACTATTTAGCAATTGTCAACATGGATGAACATCAGTCTTGTTAACAAGCTTTCCTGACACTCATCTGCACCCTTGCAACTTTTAAAAAAATTTTTAATTTATAGGGAAGTTGAGAATGCTCACAAATAAGCCATGGTATAAGAAGATTCATGTTATAATCATCTGATATGGAAAACTTTCACAATGAAGAAAAGGATGATCAGACCTTAAAAAATGTACCATGGATCCAAGGGTGGAAAAATAGAGGAGCTGAGCAACTAAAGTCATTTCAACCTTTTAGTTTTTATGCTTGCCTCTCCTCCCATATACACACTAAATATGCTTATTTTCCTCTTCTTGGTACCGAGTGATAAATCAAGTTTAATACAGGGAAGCATGCTAGTATATTATGGAATGAATTGTTTATCTATTTATTTTTTATTTTTTGAGATAGAGTCTCACTCTGTCACCCAGGCTGGAGTGCAGGGGCATGATCTTGACTCATTACAACCTCCGCCTCCCTGGTTCAAGCAATTCTCCTGTCTTGGCTTCCCAAGCAGCTGGGACTACAGGCGCATGCCACTACACCCAGATAATTTTTGTATTTTTAGTAGAGACAAGGTTTCACCATATTGGTCAGGCTAGTCTCGAACTCCTGACTTCAGGTGGTCCACCTGCTTCGGCCTCCCAAAGTGGTGGGATTACAGGCGTGAACCACTATGCCCAGCCTGAACGGTTTATAAAATACACAATATCTCCTCAAAGTCATTCTGCAATGGGTTAAAGAAGATATACCAGTCAGGTATATCGATTGAGACATAGGGTGTAGTGGAAAAAAGAATCAATAGACAATTAGATCCAGTATTACGGAAGGCCTCATATATGAATCAGAAGAGTTTGATACTTTGATACAGGACTAGGGCATCTCAAAATGTTCTGCCTAACTATCCTGAGTAGCAGAGAAGAACATAAATAAATATGCCTCAGTGTTACCAAGGTATTATTGAAGCTACCTGACACTTGCCAAAATACTGAATTTTTTTGTGCCGTTGTTAAAACTCAGGAGAAATTTGTATGCTCATGATTAATACAAGATATCATTATTATTTATCAAAGTAACAAACTTTTGCCCAGATATTAATGTGATGTTGACACTGTGTGAAAATGTCCTGTGCTCATATTGTGGCATTACAGCATGCCACACAGTTTCTCCTAAGAAACTGTGTCTCCAGTCTAGGTGACAGAGTGGTATGCACATCACTGTTTCACAAGCATGGCATAGGAAATAGCTGACACTTTCTACCTTTTTAAACAGAGGTGAAAGTGCACTTTTCAAAATATTTATGTGAAAGATAATACCTCAAACTTTATTCTTTGGCAAAGAACTTTCATATTTGACCCTTGATTAACCTATGGCAGTATAGCAGAAAAAAAGTATATTCATGTCCATTTAAAAATAAATGAGAAAATTGAAACATAGAGAATTTAAATTGAACATTTAAAATCAGAGCCAAGAAAACAAAATATTTTCTGACTCTGAATCCAGTGCCAGTTCTATAATCCCTAGTCATCCTGAGCAGAATATAATATAAAACCAATTTATCTTGGATCACATTCAAATGAATTTAGTTGTACCACAATAAAAAGCAGATACCTTTATAGGTCATCTTAACATGGACCCCAAGGACAGTATTATGTAAGTCTGCTAGTACAGTCAGTTTTCACATATCAAATTTGCTGGGCAATGTCCGTCCCTGACACAGGTGTGTTTTTTTTAATACTTAAATGTTACCACTTGTACTTAAAAGAATGAAACTGACATGCTCAAATTTTCTAAAAAGAAAAAAAAAGCAAAGAAAGTAAAGGAAAGATAAAAAGAAAAATGCTCACCCTATTGAAAGTAGTTAATATGCCAGGGAGACATTTTTCACAAACCATCTGGGGGTTCACACGGGTATTTTCAAACTTTTTAGAAGCTCCATGACCAATTAATC